AAAAAAAATATATATATAGACATAAAAAAAAGTCAAAAACACTAAAATTACTAAAACTTTAACTCATATGAAAACAGAAAATATAAAATAAGAGCTAATTAGAAATATTAATAAAAATTATGTTAGTATCTAATTTATACTAAAATAACACTGAAACATACATGTATCTTGCATGTTCTTCTGATTACCAGGGTAAACCACAAAAATACTGAATAAAACTATATTAAATAAAACCTTAAAGTTATTTTATTTCAAGGCAAAATTTCTCATTTTCATTTAGTTTAACTTGATGCACTAAAATATCTCAAACTAAAATATAAAATGAATAAAAAGTATACAGACATGTTTAAAAAACTAAAAACGAACTAAAATGAAAATGGAAAATATAAAAAATAAAATAAAAGCTACTTAAAAGTATTAATGAAAACTATAATGGTGTCTGGGTAATACTAAACAAGTAATGATCTGGTGCTCCAGTGCGGCTGGTGAACGGCAGGAACCGCTGCGAGGGGCGAGTGGAGGTGCTTCACAACGGGACGTGGGGGACGGTGTGCGACGACGACTGGGACATGGTGGACTCGAACGTGGTGTGCCGGCAGCTGGACTGTGGTGTGGCTGTGGCCGTGGGGAGCAGCTCCAAGTTCGGCCAGGGCACCGGGCCCATCCTGCTGGACAACGTGGACTGTAAAGGAGGAGAGATGGACCTGAGTCAGTGTAGGAATCAGGGATGGGGCGTCCACAACTGCTACCACTATGAAGACGTGGCTATCACCTGCAAAGGTATGAGTGAGCCGAGGCATCAAAGCTGATTTCCTTGCATGAGCTCAACTAATTATTCATTTATGTGAGATCATTCATTTTTCATTTCTCACAGGCAATAATGTGGTGGAACCTCGAGGCCTGGAGCCCACCACACCGTCCCGTCTCATCTCTGCTTTAAGTAAGTTTTTGGAACTCTTACATGAGGATATCAACTTGAAGTTCATTTCGATGTTTTATTTATTTCATGAAATGTCAATATCAGCAAACTCATTTGATTAAACAAGATGCAACATTTTCAAGAGACAAAATACACCACCGAATTCATTGTTGTTTGTATGGTTGATTTCCCTCCAAAATGATGTCACTTCCTGGAGGAGGAGGTTGATGTCATTCTTAGGAACTTGTATTTTGTGTTTTGGGATTTTACAACAAAGTTATATTTAAGGACATTTGATAATGAATTAAAACGATGTTTAATTGACACATTTCAATTAGAATAAGGATAACCAAAGAAGTTGTCTAAAACCATTTAAACTTAACTCTTACATCCACTTCACTGTGATATTTTGATTAAAATAATCAGATTTTAAATAATCTGACTTCTTTGAATATGAATATTTTTTACGATTTTATTTATTGTGTACATAATATATTTTATATAATTTAGTAATGTTAATCATTTCATAAATTCAATGCATTTTAATATTTTATTTAATATATTAAGACACGCATCATGTAATGCATAGTGAATGACCCAAAATATTTAGGGCCTTTTTGTACATATTTTAATATGTGACACAAAAGTCCTAGATCTCATAATATAAAATCTCATTATTTGTTATTTTAAAT